CTTGAAATGCTCAGTACAGATTCTACAAGAGGCTGTGGTGCCCCTGACTCTGCCACAAACACTTGTGAACACTTAGCTGTGAACGTTCTGCTTCCCACACAGCCTGCCTCGTGCTCTCCTGATCCCTTCCACAGCTGAACTTGGCCTCACGCAAGTAATTTATGAAGCTGATGTACAAAATAAATCAAGTGAATAACACGTTGGTGTTGCTGTGTCCACGTTTGTTGTTGTGTCTTCAGCTTGTTTAACACATGCCCCAAGGAGGGTGCGCACAGGTTTGCTTTGTTTCCCCTCCAGTTTCCTCAGGCACCAACTGCTGGAGCTGTTGCTCGCTCCTGTTGATGCTGCTGGAGTTTTTGAGCTGCTCTTAGCAAGGCGCTGATTCCTGGCTCAGCAGCATCTCCTTAGGGAAGATTTCATCTTGGTTGCAGTGATGGTGCTGCTTGGGTGTTGCATTTAGGGTTGAAGGCTTCGCAGTGATGCTGTTCTAAGTGAAACACTGCTGTAAAATCTGGCTAAATGTTGTCACTGAGCAGGATGCTTCAACTGCCAAACAGAAAAACTGCTTTAGCATGAACGCAGCAGCGTTGATCATTGGCTGTATGGGGAAAATCAAGTGTTTTCATTGCAGTTGGGTGCTCCTGAAGGCTGTGGTGGGGTGGCTGCCGTCACCTCGCTGGCAGCAGCCTGAACTCCAGGCTCTGAAAGGCAAAGGCGCCGTGAAATTCTGGCATCGCAGCCCTGCGCTGCACACAGAGACGTCGATCCGTTCTCACCCAAACTGCCCTGAAAGTGGAAGTCAGACGAGCCCGCACGTCGCCACCGTGCTTAAATCAGAGCCGAGCCGTCAGCCCGTGCTTTCACCTGCTCTGCGTGTCCAGGCACGAAGGGCAGAACGCGCTGCTGCTGCCGCCTGCAGTCCTGACCGAGTTCGGGCTCGTCCCCGGGGGCGGCCGATGCTCCTCCTGCTGCTGGGAGAAGCCTTCAGAAGGGCTGGGAGCGGAGGTTCGTCCCTGCTGCCCGCTGCCCCGCCGTGGCCCTGAGTTCTCCGGCTGCAGCTCTGATGAGAGACGGTTGTGGTCAGCAGGGACCCAGCGGCGGTGCTGCTGTGCACGGCGGGTTGCGTTGGGCGGTACTGAAAGAGAAGCACGCTCAAAATGCCAGCTGAATGCACGGGCAGGCAGGGCAAGAAACGCGTGGACTTTGGATTTGTTTGCCCTTTGGCGATGGTTCAGCTGCTTGTGTTTTCTGCTGCGTTTCAAATGATGGTTTTGTCTGTAATTCGCCCTAGGATCAGCCTCTTGCTAATGCCATCTCTGGTATTTCCACGGGAGAAATTCCCCAGTAGAAACATCCTTCTATTCTCAGACAAATTGCTGTTAAAATCCGAGTCCTTACCGTCTGGTTACCAGGGCTGACCTTTCCAGTTTTTCACATCCACCCATCGCCTCTTTTCAACCCGTTATTTGTTTTCCAGAACGAACTGATGTCGCACGGGAAGAAATCGGGGTCGGACAAAGACCTACGAGAGGAAGCCGCCGTGTCACAAGCAGGAGCTCCGCTAGATGGCACGGCGCGGCAGGGGCTGAGCAGAAACCCGATGTGCGGGGTGGAGGATCGGCTGCTCCTGCAGCCCTGCGCGCTCAGATCCGCTCACTTCATCCTCTGTACCTCAGCAGCATTTCCAAAGGAACGCCAGAATATTTTCCCTTCGAGTTCCAAACTCTTCATGCTGTCCCAGGAGAGTTGAACATCTTCCTTTCCACAGCCTCTTCCTGCAGGAAAAATTCCTTTTCCAACTGCTCTTCCTTGCAGTTTGGTGGGCATTAAGCAGGTTGGTGTCTCCAGGTCGGTGTCTCCATCCCCACCTGCGCCACGATTTCTCCCCATCTCGTGCAGTTTGTGCTTAAATAAAACGCCACTGAGGGCCATTTGCTGTACACAGGGCTGTGGGGTTCAGGCTCTGCTTCCAGCACAGCAACCTCGCTTCCACCAGCTTCTCTTCCTCATTTCCCCATTTGCTGTGCTGAAAAAGAGCAAATTTGGGAATGCTGTGCCTCAATTCCCGTGCATGGCTTATCCACCAACCTTTATTCTTGGGGGAGAAGCTGTGTTTCAGCCCAACTGCTTTGTTGTGAAGAGAGGGGGGAAAAAAGCAACGGGAAAAAGGGGAAGTGGGCTGATGAAAAATGATGTGGTTTTGATCAGTGCTGGTGGTCAGAGCTTTGTGTGCTCGAGATTGCAGGGAATAACGAGAGGACAGCAAGATGCTTCCTGAGCGTTGATCCAGAAGGAGACAAACACAAACCAAGAGAAACAACCCTGGTGACGTGGAATGCGAGCTCTGCGCTGATGAAAGGCACAATCTCCACTGCCAGGTGTCTGAGATAGAAAATTCTTCCTGTGTGACAACTGCAGCCCTGCACCCATGGGCACAGCCACCCCTCTGAAGCCGTTGTGAGCTTCTCCCCCTGCACCCCGTATGCAGGACCGGGTTTCCTCTCGTCCCCAGCACACATCTCACATCCTTCCTCGCGTTCCCTGCTGTGTTCGTTTGAAACCAATGAGCCACATTTTGTTCTTCTGTCTTCTTGGCTTTTTTTTTCCTTAAGTAAAATGGCTTTTTTTGCACGGCTGTGAGCCAAAGGAAAAGCTGGGAGATCCAACAGGCTGAAGAAGCTCCATGTCAGGCTGTCCTGCACAGCATGTTTGTGGGGTCCGTAACCTCAGTGGCCCATCTATGTCCTGCATGGCCATCCATATCCACAAGTCCTTGGTGATCCATCCATGCCCTATACCATGCATGGCTTGTCCATGAGCTCCTACGTTTGATGTCCCATCCATGTCCCATGTTCTTGGTGGCCCGTTCAGTCTCCATGCCCTGCACAGTCTGTCTCTGAGGTCATTGCCTTTGTGGACCTTTCACTCCCCACATCCTTCATGACTTGTCCACGGGGCCACATTCTTGGTGGCCTTTCATGGCTGTGCAGCCTATCCATGGGGTCACGTCCTTGGTGGCCCACTCGCTCCCCATGTCCCACATGGATAAATGTCCTTGGTGGCCCATCCATACCCCATGTTCCTGGTGGCCATTCCATGCCCTATATCCTGCGTGGCTTATCCATGGGGCCACACTATTGGTGGCCCATTCACTCCCCATGTCCCGCATGGATCCACGTCCTTGGTGGCCATACCTTACATTCATGATAGCCCATCCACACCCTGCATCCTTCGCAGCTCACCCATGGGCTCACACCTTTGTTAACCCGTTCACAGCCCATTCATTCCCCAATCCCTGCATGGCCCATTTATGGTGGTCCATCCATACCCTGTGCTAAGGTGGTCCTATACAGAACATTTATAGCCTCGCTTCCTAAGCAGTTATCCAGCCTCTGTGTCCTCTTACAGCCCACCGAAGGCACGACCACCCCCTCCCCCCCAATCCCGACAGATAGGACAGATAGGGGGAGGGGGGTCTGTGTAGGGGTAGAGAGGGGGATGGGGGGGATATCGATAGCTGAGGGGTCTGTGTGGGGTTGGGGGGGGGGTACCTGTGGGGACGGGCGGGGGTCTCAATGGGGATTGGAGAGTCTCTATGGGGATGGGGGGGTCTTGTGGAGGTGGGGGGGGTCCCGAATTGGGAGCTGTGGGGCTGCTTGGGGTCATTGGGGGCTGCTTTGGGTCGTTATCCAGCCTCTGCGTCCTCTTACAGCCCACCGAGGGCACGACCACCCAGCCACCCAGCCCTCCTTCTGTCCCTCCCCCCCTTCTGTGCGCTGCAGCCCGGGGGCTGCAGGGGGCGCGAGCGGGAGGGGCGGGGGGCGAGCGGGGCTGCGCGGGCAGAGCGGCGGGAACGGACGGACTGGGGGGGGGGGAGGAAGGAAGGATGCCCAAAACGGCGCTGCCGGGACAGCGAGGGGGGGCGCGGCGCCAGGCGGTGGGGTAAGGCTGGGGGGGGTGCGGGGATGGAGGGGGGATGAGGGAATTGGAAGGGGATGAAGGGGGTCAGTACGGGCATTGGATGTTGGGGGGGAGGGGTTTCTCTATGGGGATGTGGTCCGCGTGGGGTGGGGGGGGTGGGATGTGGGGGGGGCCGGGTGGGGGTAGAGAGGGGGTCGGGGGGGGATATCGATACTGAGGAGTCTTTGTGGGGTTGGGAGGGAGTCTCTATGGGAATGGGGGGGGTCCATGTGGGGGTAGGGGGAGTCTCTATGGGGATGGGGGAGTCCTTGTGGGGGTGGGGAAGGTCTCTATGGGGATGGGAGGGGGTCCATGTGGGGGTAGGGGGAGTCTCTATGGGGATGGGGGGGTCCTTGTGGGGGTGGGGAAGGTCTCTATGGGGATGGGGGGGGTCCATGTGGGGGTAGGGGGAGTCTCTATGGGGATGGGGGGGTCCTTGTGGGGGTGGGGAAGGTCTCTATGGGGATGGGGGGGGTCCATGCGAGGGTAGGGGGAGTCTCTATGGGGATGGGGGGGGGTCCTTGTGGGGGTGGGGAAGGTCTCTATGGGGATGGGGGGGGTCCATGTGGGGGTAGGGGGAGTCTCTATGGGGATGGGGGGGGTCCTCGTGGGGTTAGGGCGGGGTCTCTATGGGGACGTGGGGGGGGTCCTCGTGGGGGTAGAGGGGTCTCTATGGGGGTAAGGGGATCCCTGGGGGGTAAGTTCTGTATGGGGATGAGGATGATTCGATGGGGGGGGGGGGGGTGAGGTGGGGGGTCTCAATGGAGATGGGGGAAGGCTGTAGCGGTGGCTGTTGGGGCTGCGTGTTGTCAGACGGGGTCTGTGGGGGTCTATGGAGGAAGGAGAGGTTTGAATCTCGGGGTGCCGCGTTGGACGGGGGAGGGGGGTCTCCAAAGGGCAGCCCCTACGCAGGGACTATATCCCGCGGCGTGCCCGGGCGGAGGGATCCGCCGCCCCCGACCCTGCGAGAGGCGGAGCGCGGTGAAAAAGGAGGTGGGTGGCGGGGGGGCGGGGAACGGAACCGCGGGGGCGGGCGGAGCGGAGCCGAGCGCGGCGCCTTACGGCCGAGGGAGGGCCGCGGCGTGGCCCAGGGGAGGCCGCGCTCGGGGCCGCGAGCGGAGCGGGAGGAGCTGCGGCCGTTGGTGGGAACGGGAAGAGGCGGCGGGCGGAGGGGCGGCGGGGAGTCGGGGAAGCCGAGATCTGCGGCGGCGGAGATGGAGCGGAAGAGGTGGGAGCGGGCAGGAGGGGGGGGGGGGCAGAGCGCGGGGAGGCGTTGCTGGTGCTGCGGGCGGGGGGGTCCCGGATTGGGAGATGTGGGGCTGCGTTGGGGGCCGCTTGGGGGCGCTTTGGAGGCGTTGGGGGGCTGCTTTGGGGGAATTGGGGGCTGCGTCGGGGTCGTCGGGGGCTTCTTGAGGGCTCTTTAGGGCTTGGGGGGTTGCTTAGGGGGAATTGGGGGCTGCTTTGGGTGGTTGGGGGCTGCTTTGGGGCACTCTGTGGCATTGGAGGGCTGCTTGGGGGGCTGCTTGGGGTCCTTGGGGGCTGCTTGAGGGCACTTTGGAGTATTGGAGGGTTGCTTTGTGGTCATTGGAGGCTGCTTGGATTCATTGGGGGCTGCTTGAGGGCTCTGGGTTCGTTGGGGGTTGCTTTAGGGCACGTTGTGGTATTGGAGGGCTGCTCTGGGGTCGTTGGGGGCTTTAAGGCACTTTGGTGCATTGGAGGACTTCTTTGGGGGCTGCTTGGGGTCGTTAGGGGTTGCTTTAGGGCACTTTGGAGCTTTGGGGGTTTGCTTTGTGGTCATTGGGGGCTGCTGGAGGGCTCTGGGTTCATTGGGGGCTGCTTTAGGGCACGGTGTGGTATTGGAGGGCTGCTTTGTGGTCATTGGAGGCTGCTTGGCATCGTTGGGGGCTGCTTGAGGGCTCTGGGTTCATTGGGATCTGCTTTAGGGCACGTTGTGATATTGGAGGGCTGCTTTGGGATCGTTGGGGGTTACTTGGTGTCATTGGGGGCTGTTTTAGGGCGCTTTGGGGCATTGGAGGGCTGCTTTGTGGTCATTGCAGGCTGCTTGGTGTCCTTGGAGGCTGCTTGAGGGCTCTTTGGGTTCATTGGGGGTTGCTTTGGGGCACTGTGGGGGCATTGGAGGGCTTTGGGGGCTGCTTGGGGTCATTGGGGGTTGCTTTAGTGCACTTTGGGGGCATTGGAGGGCTGCTTTGGAGTGTTGGGGGGCTGCTTTGGGGGCTGCCGGTTCCCTGCTCTGTGCTGCCCCAGGAGCTGGGTGCTGTGGGATGATCCCTTCACAGGGCCCTCATCCCCTTGCAGTGCTTCATGGCAGTGGGTCCGATGGGTGCTGGGTGCTCCAGGTGTCAGAATGAGGATCCCATCATCCCAGGGCTGCTCCCACTGCCCGTCCCGTGCTGCTTTGGGGTCGAGTGAAGGCAGCAGGCTGTGCTGTGAGGGCAGGCAGAGGGCTCAGCAGCGTGGAGAGCGCTCACCTGCTTTGCCTGGAGGAGATGGGAGAGGAGAACGCTTTGTGCAGCCGTGTGTGGGCCATGCGGATCTTCCTTCCAACACCAGGAGCTGCTGCCCCATGGGCAAACCCAGGGCTGGAGGAGCTCAGTGTGGGTGCCAGGCTGTTTTCACCCAGCCCTTGTGGTTGGTGGGATGTGCTGTCAGCTCAGCACACATGGTGTTCATCTTCACCATGGCATTCTGGTGGTGGGGATTAGCATTGTGCACTGAGCAGAGCAGCAAAGTGCTCGTTGGTGGGGTCTGATGCTGGAGGTGCCCAAACAGCGTTGGATCCAGGGAAGGGAAAGCCCCACCTGCAGAGCTGAGGGCGCAGATGGTGGTTCTGCTTCCCAGGGACTTCGTTGTAGAGTTGTGCTCTCAGAGCCACAGAGCAGGGGGAGAGGATAAATGCCATATTATTCCCAAGATATAATGGATTTTTCCTTTCTATCAGTTTGGACAGAGATGAAAGGTGTAACGCGGCCCCGCTGCACTAATTTTCAATCACTGTTGCATTTTGAACCACCTCAGAGTGGCAAACACACCAGCGGCACTTTATGAATACCTCTGCTATTTCTGCCTGTTGCTTACCTGGCTGTTTCCTTTCACCCAGCTGCTCTGAGCACACGGATGCAGTGAGCGTGGACAATTGCGTGCACAGCTTCCCATCAGAAATCACTGGAAACAAACGCTCCCGTGTGAGATCACCAGCCCTGGGGATTAACACCAATCCAAGGTGAGCAGCACGGATCGCTTTCCTTGTGGCTGCCGTGTGTGGAGATGTCCTTGTGTAGCCCTAAATGCCTTCTGTTCCGTGTGGAGTTTGGGAGGCAGATGCGTTGTGTTCTGTTGGAGGGAATTGTCCTCCAGCCTCGCCGGGTGGAGCAGCACAGGAGTGCTTGATGGTGTCAGTGCAGTGGGGCTGGTGGTGCAGCAGGGGTGGAGGGTCTGCGCTGCGTGTCGCAAAGGGAATCGTGTCAGTTCATGAAGTCTGAGGGAGTTCTGGCTGCGTGGTTCTTAGGCTCTTTGTGCCCACACGAGGAGAGGAAGGAGGGCTTACAGCTGCTGTGTGCAGCAGTGCTTGTGTCTGCCTATGGGGTCACGTCCTGCACGCCCCATGTCCTTGGTGGTCCGTTCAGTCACGATGTTCTGCGTGGCCCAGCTGTGGGTCTGTGCCCTCGGTGGCCCTCTGTGCAAAGCCACGTGGATGTGGTGCTTCTGGGTGGGCTGTTGCTGTGGCTCAAACAGCTGTGGGCTGTCAGCAGGGTGCCAGGGATGGGTGATGGAGATGTTGCTGTGTGGGCATCCCTGTGAGCACACCAGGATATAAGAAGAGGTGGCTGCAGGGCTCAGCTGGTCCCGGTGGGTTTGCCCTGCTGCTTTTTGTGTCTGTGCTGTCTGGTTGCATCCCATAGAGGTGTGGGAGCACCAGGGTGAGTTCAGGACCTGCTGCCACCGGTAATGGGGACAGTGGAGCCATTGGGTGGGATGGCAGAGGAGGAGGGAAAGAGTGAGAAGAGGAGGAAAAGCATTTAGCATTATAACCATCACGAGGCTTTAAGCATATGCTTCTGATCACCCACCCCTTCTGACGTCGGTTACGTTCATTGAAAGGCAGGCAACATCCGGAGTGAGCTGGTGGGATTTCTTCATTTTATTTCATTTTTTTTTTGCCTTTTGTTCCCTCGCTTCCCAAGTTGTTCGGATCTGGCGGATGCGAAATGGGGAGAGCAGAGGGGAGGAGACTCGTGGAGTGAGGCAGGAGGAGGGAGCACTGCTGGCAGCACAGAGACAAAGGCTGAGCTGAGCACAGAGAGTGGGCACCTGGCGGCCACGTGCCCTGAATGGGCTGCCTGCATCCAACCCATCTGCACCCACAGCGTCCCCGAGTAGCAAACGAGGGCTCTGTGGGGCCGTTCTGTCAGCCCTGGGTACAGAAAATGCTGTGTGGCTGCTGATGGGCGGCGTGGGAATCGCTCGTGGCTTCGTGGTTCCCTGCTTTTTAGGGGTGGGGAGAAGTGTGGGAGGAGGGAATTCCCAGCTCGGCGCCGCGCTCGCAGCGCCAGGACCTGCGCTCACATCCACAGGAGGTTGATTGCTGCGGTTTTGTGTCAAAATTTCTTTCTTCTGGGTCTCTTCTGAGTCTTCGTGTATCAGAAAACCAACCCAAGATAAAGCAAAGCTTTTGCTCTGCGCTTGGAAAGAGAGAAATCTCCTCTTTCGTGCATTAAAAGTCACGTCAGCTTCATCACTGCTGGAGCACCATCTCTGTGCCTCGTTGGAAGCACAACCTGCTGAGTTTTGTCAGTGGGGGTTTTTGGCTGCATTTTGTTTTCTGACCCTCGCAGCAGCTCCGCAGCTTCGTTCCCCCATTGCGCCGGGATAAAAGTTTCTCTCTTTAACCCCTCGGTGCTTTTGTTTTGGGCCAGGCTTCCCCAGGGAGGAGGGACGGAGCTCTGAGTCATTTCAGGATTGTTTTAGTTGTGAGCTGAGTTGAGTTAGAAGCTGTTCTTCGGATCCCTTGCAGAATTACTAGAGTGCATGCTGACAAACAGAGCTGCAGGCTTTGTGCAACGTGCTCGGAGCGCATCTGGCTCTGTTGCTCTGGAATCCCCCACGCTTTGAAGTGGCAGAACAAGAACCTTGCACCTCAGCACAGCCCTCAGCACGTTATTTTTAATATTCCCTTCGGTGGATTTCTGTTTCTATTAAATAAATGGGAGCTGCAGGTCTCAGAAGAGGAAGCAGCATCGTGCCTTTCACGCAGCAGGAGCTTTTCTTTTTGACTCCGCTGTCAGCAGCGAAAGCTCAGCCCAGAGCCCTGCTGGAGTTGGTTCTTCCTTTGGGGATCACAGCATACAGCTCCCTTTGTGTTTTGAAGCAGTGGTTTCAAATTTGATGTCTGGATCCAGTCTGTTCCTGCCTGCTTCGTCCTGCTCTGATGCCATCTTCTGGTCTGAGCATTCTGCAGCTCACAGCCAGCTGTTCTGCACACAGACAGGGATGGAGCCTTTCTTCCTCTGATATTTTCAGTATGATGTGTACCAACTTTCCCTTTCAGGAGGGTTTTTCTGAGAGTTTTTAATCATCTGGTCCCTTCCCTTCCCTTCCCTTCCCTTCCCTTCCCTTCCCTTCCCTTCCCTTCCCTTCCCTTCCCTTCCCTTCCCTTCCCTTCCCTTCCCTTCCCTTCCCTTCCCTTCCCTTCCCTTCCCTTCCCTTCCCTTCCCTTCCCTTCCCTTCCCTTCCCTTCCCTTCCCTTCCCTTCCCTTCCCTTCCCTTCCCTTCCCTTCCCTTCCCTTCCCTTCCCTTCCCTTCCCTTCCCTTCCCTTCCCTTCCCTTCCCTTCCCTTCCCTTCCCTTCCCTTCCCTTCCCTTCCCTTCCCTTCCCTTCCCTTCCCTTCCCTTCCCTTCCCTTCCCTTCCCTTCCCTTCCCTTCCCTTCCCTTCCCTTCCCTTCCCTTCCCTTCCCTTCCCTTCCCTTCCCTTCCCTTCCCTTCCCTTCCCTTCCCTTCCCTTCCCTTCCCTTCCCTTCCCTTCCCTTCCCTTCCCTTCCCTTCCCTTCCCTTCCCTTCCCTTCCCTTCCCTTCCCTTCCCTTCCCTTCCCTTCCCTTCCCTTCATTAATTGACTTGCTCCTGCCATTCAGTACCATGGCACTAGAAATCCTGTGCTCACACTGCTTTTTTCACACTGTCCTGCTATGGAGCTTTCAAAGAAGTAGATAATATGGTGGAAAAACGCTTTTTCCTTTGAGCTGCCCTAAAGAAGACCCCAGAGAGGTTGTTAGCATCTCAGCACCGCAGCGCTGGGGGGTGTTCTGCATTGCTGAAGCAGTGCTGCTTCCCTCTGCCTGTGACAGCTTCATTATTTCCAGTTATTCTCGGCCTTTTAGTAGAAATCTATGAGCAAGAAGCTGCGTTTGTAGCTTCAGGAGTAACAGAAGGTGACTTAATTACAGATCTCCAACTGACTCCAGAAGGCATTGAAACCTCATCCGTGCTCATTTGTGTCCGACGGGTGCAAGTTGTGCTGATAACACCCCTCTCCCTCCTCGAGGGGAGCAAATGCAGCCTGTAATGTGTGCAATCTGGGGTTACCTCGACCCAAAAGCAGCAGCATGCACTCGGAGATAATCCTGCTCCTATGAGATGTGACGGATCTGGCCTAGCACTGCTGACTGCTGCATGATAGAAGGAAATGGACAAATGTGGGGAGGGCTCAGCTGGAGTTTCTGGTGTTTTTCACTCGTGTTGCCTGCAGTGGCTGTATGGGAGAGCCTGTGTCAGGCTGTATGGAGCACTGTATGCACACCTGGATGCACATTGCTGTCCTCTGCTCCTCAGGAAGCGAAGTACTTGGCACGTTAAAGATGCAAAGTAACAGAAAGGAGAGAAATTAAGAGAAGAAAGCAGCGTTGTTGTGATGCTAAATGAGATGTGAGGACGACTTTGTGCTCGGGGTCTGTAGTTCTCGCTGCAGTCACAGTGCATTGACTGCTTCTTGCTTTATGCACGAAGTACAAAAGGGCTCAATTAGTGCTTTTTGTTGTAGTGCAAAGGGCTCTGCTGTTATTAAAATAAAACAAGAGGTGGAGTGGTTTGTGTGTGCTTGCCAGCTTGTAGTGTCCATGTAAAATCAGGTGCATAAAACAAATCTCTTCTGTTTTGCCATCAATTGAGAGTTTTGTAAGGTTTTGACCTTTATTCTTGCATCAGCTGAGCGTCGCATTTCCTTGGCAGTGAATTTCCTCCTCCTTGCTGCTGCACAGCAGAGTGTGGGGAGGACTTATGGTACCTCTCAGACACAAGGAGATTATCCTTGGAAACAGGTGTTGTTATTGGAGACGACTGAGTGGTAGCTGCCCCTGTGCTGTCATTTCCAGTTATTCTGCTGATTATGCTGTTAATTTATACAGCATAATTTATACAGCAAAATACAACATATACTTTATTTATATATGGTCTAAATCTTTGTTTCCAACACGTCCCAACGAGTTCTGCTCCGTTTGTCTCTCCCAGTAACAACCAGAAGCTGATGTGAGTGCAGCGATGCCCATCCTGAGCTGAGCGTGAGCTCAGGAAGAGAAACCCAACTTGAAGCAGCCGCTGTGCTGAAGTGCAGAGGGTTTCATTCTCCCTCCTGATCTCTTTTCTGTGCTTTTCCAGCCCCAGTGGTAAGAAGTTCCGCAGCAAACCCCAGCTGGCTCGCTACCTGGGCAGCTCCATGGACCTGAGCACTTTTGATTTCCGCACGGGGAAAATGCTGATGAGTAAAATGAACAAGAACAGGCAGAGGATGCGCTACGACTGTTCCAACCAAGCCAAAGTAAGTTGTTCACCTTTGGGATTAAGTGAGGAGGCAGCACCGTGTGGCTGGTGGGTACAAACAGCCATCGTGAGCTTGTGGATCAGTTGGCATACAGCATGGTTCAGAGCAGCATTTGTCCTTAGTCCTTTTCTACACCTCATAAATAGGTTGAGCACATAGTATGTCTGCATTCTCGAGAGCAAGGCCTGTCCCACAGCCCTTCCCAGATGAGCAGGGCAGATCTAAATGGCACAATTCCTGTGCTCCATGTAACTCAAGGCCCGGTCCTGCTGTGAAACCTCAGAGTTGTTAAGGTTGGAAAGACCACTGAGTTCATCTAGTCCAACCTGATGGTTATCAGTGCTGTCAGAAGTGAGTTTTGTTAAGAACTGAAGGTTTGTAGAAAAGAAGAGCACTTGATTCCAGCTGTGTTGTTGTAATTCAGTAGTGGATGCCAGCAAATAAAACCAGAGAGGTCAGGATGGTTTCTGGATTCACAAACTGCTCTCTAAATCCCATATAACAGATTTTCTTAATTATTACTAATATTGTATCAAAACTTCTAGGTTTAGTGACCCAAAGGTGGCTTGTCACATCAGAACATAAAATCAATGTTCTGACTCCTAAATTCTGTCAAAATAGAAATAAAACTGTATGAATTAGATGAAGAGAGGAAGGTGTGGTTATGTTTGAGAGGTCTTAGGTGAGATCTGAGGGGTACTGTGTGCATGTTCAGCAGTCTCACTGCTACAGATCAGGCAGGTTTTCAAGTCCATAAGTGCTGCTGCTTTTGCACGCTGTGCCTCCTTGTAGCTGCAGTACTATTTTGGCAAATGTAAAATGTTTTATGGCATTTTCTGCTTCCTTTTTGTTTTGAAATGTTTAGGGCAAGCCTGATTTGAACACGGCGCTGCCGGTCAGACAGACGGCCTCCATCTTCAAACAGCCTGTCACAAAGATCACAAACCATCCCAGCAATAAGGTGAAGAGTGACCCACAGAAAGCTGTGGACCAACCCCGGCAGGTGAGACCTGGAGCTCAGAGGCTGCTTTTCCAGAAGAATCATAGAATGGGTTGGGTTGGAAGAGACCTTAGGGATCATCAAGCTCCAAACCCCCCTGCTGCAAGCAGGGCTGCCAACCTCCACATTTCACAGCAGCCCAGGCTGCCCAGGGCCCCATCCAACCCGGCCTTGAACACCTCCAGGGATGGACGGGGCATCACAGCCTCTCTGGGCAGCTGTTCCAGCACCTCACCACTCTCATAGCAAAGAACTTCCCCCTGACATCCAACCTCAATCTCCCCTCCCTCAACTTCAAACCATTTCCCCTTGTCCTGCTGTTATCTCCCCTTTTCAAGAGTTGATTCCCCTCCTGTTTGCAGGCTCCCCTTAAGCACTGCAGGCAGCACTGAGGTCACCCTGCAGCTTCTTTTCTCCAGGCTGAACAAGCCCAGCTCCCTCAGCCTGTCTTTGGAGGGGAGCTGCTCCAGCCCTCAGCTCATCTTTGTGGCCCCTTCTGGACCCTCTCCCACAGCTCCCTGTCTTGTATTGGGTGCCCCAGACCTGGATGCAGTACTGCAGATGGTGCCTCATGAGGGCAGAGTAGAGAAGGACAGTACCTCCCTGTCCCTGCTTCTGATGGAGCCCAGGATACCATTTGCTTTCCAAGCTGCATGAGCACACTGCTGGCTCAACGTTCACTTTCTCATCCACCAGGTCCTTCCCTGCAGAGCTAACTTCTGACTTCTGCTGCTGAGAAGTCCCAAAATAAAATGGCTGGAGTTTGTAACATTGGACAGAGAGCACAGTAATGCAAGATTACAGAAAGCTTAGGGTGCTCCCAGCTCTTAATTCAAGTCCTATCTACAAACTTGGAACTCATCACCATTTTAGTGCAGCTGTTACAAAATGTTCAGATTCTGTGTTTCAAGAAGTCCCTGTTCCTCTGTGGTGCTTGTGATGTGCTGCACAGGATGGTCCCCCTGCAGGTGGCTCTGTCATTGCTGGCTGTCCCCACCTCTTTGAGTACAGTCAGAAATTCACTTGGAATGTCACTGTGACAAAGTTGCCTGTTGTTTGTCTTCTCATGCTGTATATTTGCCAGCAAGGAAACAAACCAATGGTAAAGGGAATCTTTCAGCTTAATTTCGTCAAGTGAAAGGATGCAAAGAGTGTGCTTGGACCAATGCAGCTTTGGAGCTGGGCATTGGTTCAAGTGAGGCTGGTGTGTTCAAAGCTGCCTTTGGAAGGCGTTCTCAGTTCATTAGTGCTGCCCAGAGCTGACAGCCTGCTGCCTGCACAGAGCTCACACCAGGGTTTCTGTGAATCCTTTCCTGTCGTGAGCCTGTCTTTATGCCTTTTGGAAACTAGAAGTTCAGCTTCATTAGTCTGTTCAGATGCTGTCAATGGTACCAATTAGCAGGGTATCTTAGGCTCTTGCAGGTGTATCTCACAAAGAGGAAAGCGATTTCATTAAAAATACCTTATAAAATACCCTTACATCTCACTGAGAACTTGGTGCAAGCTTGAGAACTTACCTTAGTGAAATATGGTGGAGGATCTCTTTGAAATGGAGTGGTGGTTATGTTTTAAAGCCAGGCTGCTGGGTTTCTAATGTTGTTTCCTAAGGAGGAAGGGTGTGCGTTGGCAGTTCTGTTGCTCCTCCTGTAAGCCATCGTGTGCTGCTGTAAATTCCACCTGTTTGAAAGTCACAGGTGAGAGAATAACCAGCCCCAGTTTGTTTTGGCTTTTGCAGTCCTCATTTCTCAGTTAGAAGCTTGTAATACGTGGATGCTGTCAGGCATGAAAGGAGGTGTGTGGCCTGCTTACCTGGGTAAAGTGGCTTTATTGCAAGAAAAAATGCATTCCAGCTATTCCTTGATCATCCTTTTACAGGCAGATTGAGAGATGAAAGTGTACCCAGCTTTTCTGTCCATCTCCCCACCAAACCACGGCTTCTCTTGCCTTTGAGTTTGAGGAGGACCTGTAATGCAGCGTTCAGGATGAGCTGGGATGGTTCTAATGAAAAATGCCAGGAGAGGAGTGAAATAATGCTCAGATGAGTTCTGCATTCCTTAACTTCAGTTCTGTGGCGTGTGAGAGAGAGAGCAGAAGAGAAAAGAAGCAGAGATGTTCTGCTCCTCGGGGGCAAAGCCTTCAAGGCAGTAAATCAGGATGAGGTGTGGGATTGATGGGCAGTGAGGTTTGCTCCCTGCCTTCATGCATGGCAGAGCCCCGCCTGCAAGTAGCCAGCAAGTAGCCAGCAAGTGTTGGCGGTGTCTGATTCCATTTCTTTCTGTGTACCAATGGATGCTTTCTTTCATGGCAGCTCTTCTGGGAGAAGAAATTAAGCGGGCTGAACGCTTTTGACATCGCAGAGGAGCTGGTGAAAACAATGGACCTGCCTAAAGGTTTACAAGGTAATCAGCCTGCCCTGAGCTCCGGTTCCAGCCATGATCCAGAGGTGCTGTGCTTGAGCTCTTCAGACCACTCTTCCTCCAGCAGCAGCTGTTAGTGCCCTGTGGCCTCCCTTTGTCCTTAGGGGATACAGCAGCATAATGAGAGGAAGTGGCAAAAGTTGCTTGACTTGTGTTTGTTTGTACTCCAGATCAGTGCCTGTTCAAACCGCTTCCACTCCCAGGCTGTGTTTCACGTGGCACAACCAGGGATCTGGGGGGGGGAGAGTTGTGCAGGTGCTATGAAAACCATTCAGGACTGAGATTTAGGTCATGCTGGCTTCCCAAATAACACCACCTGCTTTGCCATTAACGTTTGAGCAGTGCTTTGATCTGCTGCATGTCGTGCAGTGCTGATTCTCACTTCTCTGCCTTGCAGGGGTTGGACCTGGTTGCACTGATGAGACCCTCCTGTCTGCCATCGCCAGTGCCCTGCACACCAGCACCATGCCCATCACTGGGCAGCTGTCTGCAGCCGTGGAGAAGAACCCTGGCGTGTGGCTCAACACTTCACAGCCACTTTGCAAAGCATTTATGGTGACCGATGAAGATATTAGGTATCAATCAGAGAAATACTGTCTTGAAAAGTTTTCCTCTAGTAGAACAGTGCTCTCTGTTCAGTGGCAAGCCGAATCCTCTGGTAGGAGCAAGGCTTTGAAAGTGTCTTTATCAGAAAAACAGAAGAAAATCATTGCACGAAGCAGCTCTCACACAATCACGTACTTAAAGCACATTATTTTTTATTTGGACTGTGCTCAGTTACTCTGAGGTTTCAGGTTCGTGTTTGTTCTTCATATCAGTGTGTCTCCTTTAATTGACAAAGGTGTCTGAGTTTGAGTAACGTGGCTTAGGGCACCTCTCAAGAAATTGGATGCTTGGGAAAACACCAGATGTATTTTTCACCATCTTACCTTTCTGTGTCAGCACAGCACCAACCAGAAGCATCAACCACTGCTGTGACAGTGAACAAGGATGCAATTTGAGTGGCTGCAGCTTGCTTTCAACAAATCAGAGTTGGTCAGGTTCAGCTTTAAGCACCTGATAATGTCTTTGGTATATTCCTTTCTCAAACCTGAAATCACACTACTTCACATTCATTGACAGTGCATAAAAGCAGGAATTGTTTGGACTGTTCAGCTGGTCGATCTTTTTGAACTACAGGATGACATTTGTGGGGTGTGATTTAGACATGAATGACCAGGAAAAGCAGTCTGTTTATAGCTTTCTGGTTTCCTGTGCCTGAGATGAAATAGGAATCCCACACACTGCACTTTGTTGACCAATTCTTTACATTGCATTACGTGGCTTTGGGATAAAAGGAGCTGTAACATTGAAATATTAAATGGAGAAATGGAGATGTTTCTTTCAACCTCGTTTTAATGCCAGGCTTTTTCTTTTTTAATGGTGCAGCTCTTGTAGATGGCTCTTTCCAAGTCCTGCTTTTCTGCCAGGCCTTGTCTATGAGCAGTCTTTCTTTTGCTTGAAGTAGCTTTGAGAATTAATGTCAATGTTGGTTGATTTGGGGGCAGGAAGCAAGAGGAGCTGGTGCAGCAGGTGCGGAAGAGGCTGGAGGAAGCTCTGATGGCTGACATGCTGGCCCATGTAGAGGAGATAGCAAGAGATGGGGAAGCTCCTACAGAGAAAGAAGGAGGTGAGGAGGAAGGAGAAGATGAGGAGGAAGAAGAGGAACAGGATCATGACCAGGAAATGGAGAATGTATAGTCCAGGTAATGACAGCCTCCTTTCTCACAGCAACTTACTGAATAGTGCTTCACTGAAGGCAGAAATGTTTTCTGAGGGAACCCTGGCAAATATTGACCAATCTTTGCTTCTAAGCACACGCTTTCACAGCGTGCTTTTCGTGCAGAAATCAAATATCTTGTTGACTGTGATGTCTGGTGAGTGTTTGCATTGTCATGAAGTGTTCTGGGCCTTAAGTTTGCCTCAGATGGAATGGCTGAATGTGTAACCAGGCTCTGAATGGCAGCACGTGAAGGATTCGATAATGAAAATGGATCAGTTCTTAAAAATGGATGCCTTGTGATGTCATTTTGCCCCCCCCCCCCCAGCTTATTTATTATGGCCTGTGACAGGCAGGAGGATCCTGCAGGGGGGCAGGACAGCTGATGCCTTAGGGCTCTGTTCTCTCTTGCTTTTCCAGCAAGCATTTCACTTGCAGAACGTATCAGAGGGCACATTTCTGGAAATGTGAAACATTTTTAGAAATCAGAAAAGGGCAACCTGGCTACCAGAAGAGGGAAGCTGCTGAAATACTTTGTGGCAGGAATTTGTAAACTGAAAGCAACAGGAGAATGTAAAGTGTTCAGAATCTGAGAAGAACTCAATTGTTGCATGCTGCCAGCTGCAGGGTTCACAGAAACGTGCCTTTAGCACTGAGCAGCCTTTGAAGTTAGCATCAGGAGCTGCTGCTTGTGTTCAAGTTGGTCTGACTTTCACTTGCACAGTGGAGCTTTTTAAAGGTGCAGGTGGAATTTTGTTTTATTGTCTCGTAACCCAAAGTAGCTCTCAGTAATAAGTTTTTACTGCGTAGGAATGCAGAGCTGGGGGGGAAAAGGCACCTCGTGCAGCCAGATGGAAACAGAACTCGTTGGCTTGAAGTTTTGATCATTTTTAGCCTGAGAAAGCAGTGAGCATTCTGTGTCTGAGGTAGGACAGCCAACAGCCTGGGTGCTGCATCGTGCAGATTCCAGTGGTGTGAGCCTGTCAGGCAGGAATCAGGAATGTGGAGGAAGGAAGGATCTTCAGGATGAACAGCAGAAGAAAAGAGAAACCCCTTTGGAGGGAGTGGCAGCTGCATTTCAGCGTGAGATAGAATGAAGAGCAATTCTGAGATAGAATGAAGAACAATTCGTGTGAAGCTGGAAGGCTGGTTGTGATGTGAGATCTGTTCAGCGTTTGGGAGATACCATCTTGCATCTGGGCTCTACATTTTCCTGGTTTACCACATGACTAGCAGTAGCTTTATTTGGACAGTGAATATCTCACATTCCTTTCTACTGCAGAGCTGTGGCCCAGCAGAGAACCATAACAAACTATCTGCTGAAGGTGAAAAACAGGAGATAAAGGAGTGGTGATGTTTTGGCAGTGGTGCTGCAAAGGCGTTCGGAGGTGTCTCCTAACTTACCAGCTCTTCTTTTCTTTCTCTTCTAGGGAGTTCCATCTAAGAATTCCCAGAACAAACCCTACCAGCAGGGTCAGCACAACTATTTACAAAGCCAAGAGTGTCTGCAGAGTAACTTGCACCACCAGTCCAGCTGCAACTATGAGCATTTTGATGTACACTTCAGGAAAGCCAAGAAGCTGATGGTTCATTCATTGCTGGGTAGTTTGGAAGATGGAACTTGACTTAAGCTCTATTCCCCCTCCTTTTTGTTAAGGGGGGGAGGGCAAGGGGGAAAACAAAAGCGGGAGGGAATAAAGGAATGCAAAACAGTGGGAGGGAATGTATTAGGAACCAAACTCCCTGTCCTTTTTAATTTGGTTTTGGTTTTGTGGGTCAGCAATAGGTGCTACGTTTTTTTTTTCCAAGCTTTTCTATCCAAGTACCTTTAAGGATGACCCACGGAAACCATTTTCTCTCTGATGCAAGCGAGAGAGATGCCGTTTCACTCCTTGGCTGCTCTGCTGTGGGCTACCTGTCTGTACCAGTCTGTACGGAGGTCATTTTATGTTGTGGATTGTCATTCCATGTGTCAATTCAGGTCAGTGAATTTCATTTTCCTCACAAGACCACGTTGGTCTTGGCAGCGTAGTCTCAGAGATGAGCTGCCAGTGCCTCTTCCACCTGAGGTTTCGATGAGCAGGGGAAGTTACACATGAGGAACTGGTCAATGGCAATCTGGTTTTTTTTAGTGAGTTCCACCATCAAACCAAATGCACTACAGTGCACGTTTTTATATGGAGTTCTGTGTATGCCTCAGGCATAGCAGAACAGGGAAGATAAATATACCTGCTCAGTGGTATATTTTGCTTTGGTTTCTTCTGATCAGAAGGACCTCAACTCAGAATGGGAGGATTCCTCATTTCTGACTGACAATGAGGAAGACTTCCTCTTTTCTCTTTTGGTGCCAAGAACCCTCACCTCTGTTTCTGTGTGTGTGGAGGGAAGGGAATCCATTCCAATAGGTGTTTCTACACATCTGCTTTCATGTGCAGTGATGTTCTGACCTCTTTTAAAAACAAGGCAAAAGGTTGATTTTTTTTTTTTTTCTATAATTGTTACCTTAAAAAAAAAGGATCTAAAGCTTTTTATTAAGTATTAAACCTTTCTTATTTGCATGTGCAGTGAAGTGACCAGCATTTTTGTGTCCAAAAACTGAAATGATGTGAAACCTGCCTTAATGTGTTTATAAGTATTTGGCTTCACCGTGGGTACCTTGATTGATTCCTCAGTCTCTTCTAGTACAACTGTGAGCATTTGGGGGGAACTTGGGGCTAAAAAGGGCTTTATCTGGGGAGGGAGGATAGGGAGAGGGGAAGGAAGATGAGTGTATAGCTTGGAGAATATGTTGACTAGGTTGCAGAAGTTATTTTAGTCTTAGGGTATCCACTGCATAACGAATGCGTGGACGTCTCAGCTGAGAGTAACAGTATAAAGTGGTGGATTCAATATTGTGCCACTGACCACTTGTACAAGTTGTTGGTATCCCAAAACTTGGGGAAGAAAGTAGCTCCCAGAGCCTTTATTGTGTGAGGATGGTTAGCAGTCGGAGCGAGGGACCTTTGGGAGTAGTTTGCTTTAGTGATGTCCGTAGGGTTTAAAAGCTCCTCCAAAAAGATCCCATGCCAAAGCGACTGGTACTGTATTAACCTTTCTTAAAGATGTGAAGACACAAAATCCTTTTGCTATTGCTCATTTGGAGTACTGCAAGAAGACTGAAATTGTACTTTGCTGCTGCTGTACCAGGTATTGTGCTGGGGGTCTTTACCTTCTACTGCAGCCGGCGAGGGTGATTTTTCCTTTTTAAACAGTCTGTTACGGTTGTTATTCTGTAAAACTGTCCTCTTGTAATTCATTGTGTTGAATTAAATGTTTCTCACAAAGTGGAGACTCTTCTCTTTTCCTTCGAGGCCCTGCTTGGAGTCTGTGTGCTGCGTTGCAGGTATGTGGGCAGGGAGATGTTCACATGTTTGGGCTCTGCTCTGAGCTTTGGATCTCAGTGTTTGAGATCTATAAGAGGAGGAGAAGAGTGACACTGTGGATGGAAGGCTGCTGAGTCCTGCATCCTCACCAAGCAGCTGCTGTTTCGGGCTGGATTTGAGCTCTAGAAGTCTACAGCCTACCCTGGAGGGGCTCTTATGACCGTGTTCTGGTGTTATTTTGATGGGGTTTATTGTAAACTTCTGATACCTGGTGATGCCTCTGCTTCTATTCAAACGGAAATGCATTTTAAGCCTACGGGCGCCGCAACGCAGGCGACTGAGAAGCTGACAGCACCAAAGATTAAGAAGAACAAATTAAACAGTTCAAATTGCTGCCAACTGGTTCCTCAAATCAAAAGCCTCTGTATGTTTGCATTCATATGAAGGGAGCTGATTGCTCAGAGTACCAGAAAAGGAGGACAGGAGATCCAAAGGAACTTAACTAACATTACCTGCTTGCTGAAACGGGTGAGTAAATGAACGTTCCTTGGGAAGGAGCTTGCTGGCTTTCTCACGTTGCTGCTCTGATGACTGAGTTTCCCATTGCAGCCATGGTGGAGGGGCATGATGGAGCTGCCTGCCTTCTGCACATCCCCAAGGTGGAGAGAGCGTCATTACTGAGGTGTATCTTCTGAAGCAGTGAATAAGCAAAGAAAACTTGGAAGAAAAGTAACTGAATGATGTTAAGGCAGAATAGATCAGGCTTAGGTGTGTCCTGTGCAAGGTTTGCGATGATAGACTGCTTTGCTCATCTGAAATGATGGTGCCAAGCTTTGTCAGTGATCATCTTCACTGAGAAGGCAGGAGTCTGCCCCGTGCAGCTGCAATCGTGCAGCTTTTTCTGCAGATGCTGAGCTCCCAAAAGCCATTCCAGCCCTGTGCTGTGCTCCTCGTGATGGTTCGTGTCCCACCTGGAGGCAGCAGCCTGCTCAGTGGCAGGGAGCACTGCTTGGAGGAGAGGTTTGACAGCTCTGCAATTTTACTCAGCAAAAAATGGCAGTGAAATCACCAATTTGCACAGATGTTGGTACGGTTGAAGCCTGCAGAGCTCTTGGTGGTGGCTCTGCCTGAAAGCCAGCTCCCATCTGAAGCCCAACTTGCTTGGCTGCCTGTTGAGCAAGACAAGGGAGGAGTTTTCTTGCTTGTAAACTGAGCATATTAGGAAGAGAAAACAGGCATGAGAGGCACAGCTGGGTCGCTACTGTGGGCCTGGTAAACCCAGCACGTGGAGCCTTTTGTTCCACCTCTCCGATGGCTTCCTAGCAGGAATACTGCAGCAAAAAGGTTTGATGTGAGAGTTCACTGATAAATGCACGCTCTCGTTCTGCTTCCTGGGTGAGAGGAGGAGCTGGGATGAACTTGGCAAATCAGAAACACGTGTTTCCATCAGTGAGGCACGTTTGGGAGCTGGAAGCAATTCGCTTTGTGCCAACCAGGCTGCTGAATGGAAGCTTTTCAGCAGCGGCAGTTTATCAGCTGCTGGTGGAGGGAATTGTGCTTCTCTGTAGCTCTGGCAGGCTGTCCTGCTCCTTTCTATAAACTAAGGAAATGTTGAATGGGGAGCGTCAGTGAAGGTGAAAGGGGGGAAAAAAAGGACGTGTATTTTGCAGCTGTCTTGCTGAAAGCTAATCTCTCCCAGGCTGACAGCAGTGTGAGCAGCAGAGGGAAGAGGCAGCGCGCTGTGCTGATCAAGTTTCTTTGCTCAGATGAGTTTTGGTGCTGGTCCTGTGCAAGGTGCCTGGCTGCAAAAAGGCCCTCCCCATCTTTCCTACGTGCTCAGCTTCCCTCTGAGCCTTCCTGCTTCCTCTGTTCACTTCTGTAATTCACTCCCACTCTTTACTGCTTTGCAGGAGGTGGTGGAGCAGAACATAGGCAAGGACAACCCATCTCCAAGCGCCTGAATCGCGTCCTTTTGGTCTTGCTTTAAAAAGAGCCTGTTCCACATAGGCTGATGCTCAAGAAGGTAGGATAACGTGTTCAGAGGGCACGGGGCAAACGAGGAGAGAGGGTGGGATCCCACAAAGTCAGGGTTTTTAGGATTAACAATCCAGTCAGCCCTATTATTTGGGATTGCATGCAGACGTAAGACCAAACTCCAGGAGTCAGGATGCCCGTGCAAATCTTTGGATCGTATCCTGCCCAAGAGGTGCAGTTATCCCCTGTCACATGAAGTGCTGCTGTCACACACAGCACAAACTTATCAGACCCACGATATGTAGCACAGCTCCCTGCTGTAAACAGAATGGAGCGTCCTGGGTTGGATGCAGCGAGCTGAAAGCTGAGGTTTGCCCTCAGATTATCAGAGATGAGCCATGTTGGCCTTGAACTGCTGAGGGCAAAGCATTGCCCTTTTGTTTAACCCCACGACCGGCTGCTGCGTGTGAGAGCAGCACAGAGCAGCGTTTGCTAAATGCTGATCTGCAGTCATAACATCTTGAACTCCAGCACGACCTGCCAAATGGCATTGGAGATGATTGCCAGGGTTACGGGCTGGCTTTGTAATTGAGTATTGATGCTGCAGATACGGTGCCAGCAGCTGCTCGTGAGTTTTATTTACCAAGCAAGGCAAGCCGTTGTTTAATTCATTCAATTAATCTCTTAATGTTTAGTGCATTCTTCGTACCATGCAGAGTCACAAAGGGAAATGCTTAGAGATCGTGCAGAACTGGAATAGTAGGGCAGTGAGTGACCTCGTATGTGGTTTGTCTCTAGCGGCAGAGCTCAGGAACTGCTCGGCTGAGGAGCTGTATTTATTTGCATGGACAAAGTACAGCTCTTCTGATGAATAGGCCCCGAGTTTGGGCTTTCTGAAGGAAATTAGGAAGTTATTACTCAGGTTTGCTTGTAATTTGAGTACAGTTTTACGTCCCGGATCAGCCTGTGAAGCAGATTTGACTGGGATGCAGCGATCTGAAGGGCTGTAAAACTTGAAAGCTTGGTTTACAGTCGTTTATTTTTTGTGCTTTTATCTGACATGCAATTAATCCGTAGTTTTGCATCAAGTGCTGCTCCACAACTTCTGAGAAGTCGTTACCTGGAAGCTGCATCCTTCATTAATGTCACGCATGGCAGATGTCTGCTCATAGCTTCCCCCAGTGCCTTCTTTATGCGCTGCTGCAGCAGGAGAGAAAGTTTTGGTGGCGATGCTGGCAGGTAACAGAAGAGGTGTGCTCAGATCTTACACTGCACAGAATGCATCCCTGCGTGCTTGGGGTCACACAGTGTGTGTTCCCAGGGCCTTCTTCCACGCCGCGCTGACATTGAGCCTCCTCACCTCCATCCCCATCCATCTGTTGTTCCCTCCGTCAGCGACTTTGTGAGATGATTGATCTCAGTCTTAGGTCATTTTTCCAAGTTGCAGATCTTGTCAATCTGTCTGGCTCCACCTACATGCAGTGATTCAGCTCCTGATGTGCTGAAATATTCCCCTAAGCCTTCCCACACACCACCGAGGGCTTTTTTTATAGTTCTTCTCCAGGCTGCACCCCCTCTCCTGCGCTGTGCTCAAAGCATGGATTCTTTGCATGACGTTTGCATGATTTCTTTTGCTTGGAGGACGGTGCAGAAAGTCAAGTTGGAGCTCCTGAAGACTTAGAAGAGCCACTGCGAAACACACTCCCCACCTAAATGCTGCATCCTGTGTATCACATTTGCCTAATGTGCTGTGATTAAAGGAACTGGAGACAAGTGTGGGTTTGGTTTTTTTTCTCCCCTCCCTGTATGTTCAGGTATCCTCTCTTTAGGGCTTGGTCTTTGTAACAGAATAAATATTCTAGCTAGGGCGTTGCAAGTTCTACATTTGCACACTTGACCTGAAATAGAAGAGGCTGTCTCAGAATCATGGAGGGAGTTTACACTTGCATAGCTACGGTGGTAATAATAACTTTGCTGTAGTTATATTGATCTATTTCCACATCCAGAAAATGGCTTAATGTGCTGCTACACCTCTGCTTTGCTTCAGTTCAGCGTTCTGAACTCCCTGTGTGCATGCAGGGGATGGCTTTGGGTGACAGCTGTGTTCTGAGGATGCTCAGCTGAGGACGGTGCCAGCACGGTGCTGGGCCCTCTTTGCACAGTGACTGCAGCCGACAAAGGGCTGTGCTGGAGGCACAGCTGAGAGCTTTGTGACCCACAGCATCTCTGAGGGCAGCTCCTCAACTTGGGGCTGCTTGGCAAATGGCCACAGAGCAGCAGCAGCAGAGGGAATGGGGAATGAGCCCTGATAGGAAATGGGGGAACCAGAAGCAAGCATTGTGTGGGTGGGCTTGGAAGCAGCAGCGCCAGCCTCCTCCTTTTGCTTGTGTTCAGGGAAGTTGGATCTTAGGATCACAGCATCGTTAGGGCTGGAAAAGACCTCCAAGGTGACCAAACCCAGCCTGTCCCACAGTGCCCACTGACTGCCCCCAAGTGCTGCTCCTCCACTGTTGCTCTTCACTGTGGCGGTGGAGTTTTTGGTAGGCAAGTGGAGTTAAGCTAAAGAATTTGTCTAATTTATGTAATCCGTGTTCTCTGTTAATGAAGCCAAGTCTTTTAAGGACTTGCTAATTACACAGGTTAAAAAAGAAGGTAACTTAGGGTCACGAGTGAAATTAAGAAGCAAAGGAAAGAAGAAAGCATGAGCTACTTCTGCTGAAAATGGAACAGAGCACAGGCATCACATCTAGAAACCAGTTTAGCCAAAAAAAAAAAGAAACACCAAACCGCTTTAAATAAGAGCTGGCACTTTCCTAGGTGTTGTGGGACGTGACGCAGTGATTTCCAGAAAGGGCTGAGAGCACAGCGTGGGCAAAAGTGACAGAGTCTGGAGCTGCTGTTGCAGTTGCTGGGGTGACTTGGGGAGCCCGTGCACAGCATTTCGTATGGAGCTTCGCCATGGCGTCGGTTCAGGCTGCACAGAACCA